CGCGACCTGGGCCTGCGGGGCCAGCCCGTGCTGCCGCCGCCGCCGCCTGGCCCCCCGCCTGCTCTGGCGTCTGGCGACGACGGTGCTCTCGGCGAGGACGAGTGGCGGTTCTCGGAGACGCGCGGGGCCGCCCGCTTCGACGAACGGGTGCCGTCGGCTGTCCTGGATGCTGGCTGCTGCCGCGGGGGCCGCGGCATCGTGCTGTCGGGCGAGTTCGCGTGAGCTGCGCGTTGTTCAGAGCTGGCGAGCAGATGCCGACGCCGCGGGGCGACGCCGGCCAGGGCGACTCCAGCGGCGAGCTGCGGGAGCTTCCCGTGAGGCAGGAGACGGCGACGCAGAGGCGCCGCTCGCACAAGGAGGCGGCCTCGTTGACCACGACGACGGTCTTCGCCGATTGGCCGGTCAGTGGGCCTCGCGCGGCGGAGTGGCTGGCACGAGAGATCGCCCGCCAGGAGCTGACCCCGGGCCCGCTGCCATCTCCGGCGGCGTCCAGCTCTTCGGCCTCGGCCCGAGTGGCTGGGGCGCGGGCGAGCACGGGGCGCTTGGCCAGCCGCCTCTTCGAGTGCACCTTGACATGCGACCCAAGGGCTCCCCCGAGGGCGCGAAGTTATCCGCGCTTCGCGCTTCGCGGTCCTCGTTTCTCCTCCCCCTCCTCCTCGTCCTCCTTTTCTCCCTTTGGGGGGGCGGCGCGAGAGCGCGAAGTTATTCGCGCTTCGCGCTTCGCGGAGCGCGAAGCGCGAAGTTGGGAGCCCTAGTTGACATGCGACCAGCTCAACTTCGGCGAGCTGGCATCTATCGTACCGGCGGGCCGCCGCTGCCAGCTCCTCGAAGAGTGGGGCGCTCGCGCGCCGGTGGAGGCCTCTACAGGCGGCGTCAGCGGCCATCTTCGACGACGACGGGCTCTTCATTGGCGAGGAGGGGCGCCGCGGCCGCGCCCTCGCCGCCCCCGCTCTCGAGCGCTGGATCTCTCCGGAGTTGTCGGCGGAGAGCGCATCTTGAGCTTCTCACGACGATCGGCCGCCTTTCCACGATAGCGATCGAGCTGGGTACGGCAGCGCTCGAGCTTCTGCGTGGCGATCTCGTGTGCCGTCGAAGGCGGCCTCAACTCACGCAGCTGTGCTCGAAGCGTCTCCAGCTGCTTCTTCACAAGCCGTAGCTGCTCCTTCTCCGTATCCTCGGACGACCCGATGCTTTTGACGAGCTGCTCCTAGTGGCTGATCTTCGCCTTGATGGCAGCGCGCTCGGTGGCCTTCTCCTCCTTCTCCTCCTCCTCCTCCTCCTCCTCCTTTTCCTGTTTCTCCTCCTCCTCCTCCTCCTCCTCCTCCTCCTCCTCCTCCTCCTCCTCCCCCTCCTTCTCCTCCTCCTCCTCTTCCTCCTCCTCCTGACCCTCACTCCCCGCTGTCGCCGCTGTCCTTCTCCCCGCTGCCGCCGTCGACCCCCATGGCTCCACGGGCAGCTGCAGAGGCCGGCTGCTTCTGCAGCGGAGCGCTCTGCCCTCTCCCTCTCGGACTTGAGCTGGAGCTTGCGCTTCTCGCGTCGCGGCCCGTTTTGGAGAGCGGGGGGCGGCGTGAGGCGTGAAGATGACGGCGCGTCGCTCCTCTGGGGGTGGGCTAGGCTGCCTGGGATCGCACAGAGGGGGTGGTGTTGCGCAGGCGCCTTGCTCGTCGCTGCGCGACCAACTCCTCGAACTGCGGCTTCTCCCCTGGCGCCAGCTGTGACGAGTTGAGCTTGCCGCCTTGGCCTCCGCTGCGGGCAGGGGGGGAGGAGGCTTCTCCTGCGAAGCTGCTGCGGCTTTGGCCTTTTATTCCTCCTGACGGGCTTTGCTAACAATACTTTGCGGCGCCCTTGGTGCGCATCTGCACTGTATCTGTCTCGCCCAATTTTTTGCTGACCTACATCGTGGGCAACCCCAATGCGGACGCTCTGGCCCGCCCAGAATCGCACCTGCGCCGGCGCCCGCCATCGTGACCCTGGAACCCGTTTCCAGACTCGGGTGGACGGAATCGCGCAGCCCCAAGATTCTGCCAGGGTTGTGCATTCTTCTCTCCAGGGGGGAACGCTCCCATGGCGCTGCGCATTGGTGGGTGCTGTCCTCGGATCAGAAGTCTCCACTCTGACCCCGAGGGATATGGTGTCTAGAGCCAAAATGGCTACGGACATGTCAAGTCGACGGCGATGATGATGTTGATGATGATGATGATGATGATGATGATGATGATGATGATGACGAGGATGATGAGGACGACGACGACGAAGGTGGTGATGACGGCGGCGATGCTGGTGACGACGACGAGAATGGTGACGGCGACGATGATGGTCACGCCAGTGATGATGGTGTTGACGACGATGATGGAGACGACCATGATGATGGTGACGATGACGGTGACGACTACGATGGTATTGGCGTCGACGATGATGATGACAACGTCGGCGACGATGATGCTGCTGACGACGATGATGGTGATGATGATGACGACACTGTTGACGCCGTCCATGATGTTGATGACGACCACGACGGCGACTGTCATGATGGTGGCGACGACGATGTTGGTGATGTTCATGGTGATGACGACCATAATTGTGACGACGACGACGGTGATAGTGACGATGACAGCAATGAGAGTGTCCATGAAGATGATGGTGTTGACGGCGACGACGACGTCGACGGCGATGATGGTGTCAACGACGATATTGGTGATGTACTTCGGCGACGATGACGACGCCGCTGGTGGTAATGACGATGTTGATGATGGCGTCGACGACGATAATGTCGTCGATGACGGCGATGATGGCGACGGCGACGATAATCGTTACCACGATGATGGTGACGACGACAATGCTGGTGAGCTGCTGGTGATGACGACGACGAGTGACGTCGACGATGATGGTGAAAACGACGATGATGATGACCGTTGCGATGAGTGGTGTCGACGACGCCGGTGATGGTGACGAGCATGATGGTGACGACGTCGACGATGGTGATGGTGACGACTTCGCTGATGTTGTCGACGACGGCGATGATGATGACGACGGCGATGGTGGTGATGACGACGATGATGGTGACGACGACGATGATGGTGTCGACGACGGCGATGATGGCGATGACGGCGACGTTGATGATAGTGACGACGACGATGCCAACGACGACGATGACGACGGCGACGACGATGTTGGCGACGATGGAGATGATGGTGACGACGATGATGGTGACGACGATGGTGACGACGATGGTGACGACGAAGATGCCGAGGGTGGTGACGCTGGAGATGCTGGTGACGACGACGATAATGGTGGTGGTGACGACGGTGACCACGGTGACGGCGATGGTGACGACGATGGTAGTGACGGTGGCGACGATGGTCCCGACGACGACGATGATGATGATGACGACGATGGTGTCGACGTTGGTGACGACGAAGACGCCGAGGGTGGTGACGCTGGAGATGATGGAGACGACGACGATGATGGTGGTGGCGACGATGGTGACCGCGGTGACGGCGATGGTGACGACGATGGTAGTGACAGTGGCGACGATGGTCCCGACGACGACGATGATGATGACGGCGACGATGGTGATGACGCAGGCGACGATGCCGACGGCGACGATGACTGTGCCGACGTCCTAAGATGGAGACGACGAAGAGATTGGCGACGACCACAATGATGCTGACTTCGACGATGCTGGGACGATGACGACGATGATAGTGACGACGACGACGGGAATGGTGACCACGACGATTATGATGGTGGCGATGACGACGACAGAGGCGGCGACGACGATGATGGTCTCGGCGAAGATGATTGCAACGTCGACGATGACGATGATGGCGATTACGACAATGCTTGTAACGACGATGACGGTGACGACCATGATGATGGCGATGACGACGATGATGGTGATGGTGACGACGATGATGGCGACGATGCTGATGGCGATGATGGTGACGACGGCGACGGTTATGGTGACGACAACGGTGATGATGGTGACGACGACGATGATGGCGACGACGATGATGATAGGGACGATGAAGTTGATGGCGACGACGACGATGATGCTGACTACGACGATGCTGGTGACGACGACGATGTTGGTGATGACGACGACGAAGCTGGTGACGATGACGATGATGGAGACGACTACGACGATGTTGGTGTCGACGACGACGATGATGGAGACGACGGCGACGAAGATGATGGTGGCGACGACCATGATCGACGACGATGACAACGATGATGGTGATCACCACGATGCTTGTGACGACGATGATGGTGACGACGATGACGGTGACGACGACGATGACGATGCTGGTCTCGACGTTGATGGCGATGGTGACGACGACGACAATGATGGTGACGACGACGATGATGCCGACCACGACGATGATGGTGACGACGGCGACGATGATGGTGACGAACATGACGAGGGCGACGACGATGACTACGGTAATGATGATGATGCTGTTGAGGATGATGATTGTGATGATGCGGATGGTCATGAGGAGTTCTGGTGTAGTTATGAATATGAACATGTGATGATGATACTGGTACTGAAGATGATGCGAATGGTGATGATGATGTTGGAAATGATGATGGGCATTATGATGATGCTGATCATGATGATGATGACGATGATGATAGTGATGATGACGATGATGATGACGATGCTGATAATGCTGATGCTGTGCCAGTGTGGTGATGATACTGATGATTCTGAGCATGTGATGATGATTCTGATGATGATGCTGATGAGCATGTGATGCTGCTGCTGATGATGATGAGATGATGGTGATTATGATCTTGATCGTGATAGTGACGACGATCATGTTGCTGCTGCTGATGTTGATGATAATGACGACCAGTGGTGACGACGACGATAGCAATGACGTTGACGACCACGACGAGGATGCCGATGAAGGTGATGACGACGGGTGATCAGGAGGATGAGGAGAAAGAGGACTGCCACCTCCCGACGAGCCCTGGTCGTCTGATTTGCGTCGCAGGCCAATCCGGGTCCGCTGGCCCTGGTCAGTGACACTTACTTGGCCACGATGGGCATCATGTGCGCCGCGGAGCGAAAGTACATGCGCAGCATCCTGTCGGCAAGGAGCAGGCAGTCGTCGGGGCAGCAGGCTCTGCCGGGACCCTGGTGTCGGCACTGGAGGGAAGGACGATTCGCCTGCCGCACGTGCATGGGCCCACCCCCTATAGATCCCTCGTCTCGCCCCTCCCCCGTCACTGCCTTCCCCTGCTGGCCCTCCCTCCCTTCCCTCCCGCTCCCTCCTTCGTGCCCGTCCGCGGGCGCAGGCGGGCGCGTGCGCCGAGTCCCCAGGGGTCGTGTGCGGAGTCGGGCGCGCCCAGGGCCGCGTGAGGTGGGGACAGGCCACGTTAGGGGGGGATGGGCTGATGGGGGGCAGCGACGTTGGGGGGGGGGATAAGCTACGCTAGAGGGGATGTTTTGAGGTCGACCCTCCTTCAGCCACGTGTGTCTCGAGCAGATGACGATCCCTCGTGTGCCTCGAGCAGGTGCCGTGAGGAATAGACCACATACCTGCAGGCGAGCTGGACAACACGCGGGATGAGGTTCTACTTTGCAAAACGTGTTCACATCTACGGTAACTCCAGGCTTCTTGTACGAAGGATGAAGACCTCTCTGCAGACGGGCCCACGGGTTGCTATGCGCGACCACTCTGTGGGGCTCGCATTTCCTCCCCAAGCGCGATCAAGGCGACCCCCTGAGGTATGATAACCGCAGTTGTGGCAAATACAAACAAACTCCCATCTGAACAATCAATTAAAACACACCGGTGTCCCAATTTACGCAACACCGATAGTTGGACATGCAACGACAGGGAGCAAGCTCCTCCCGGCGGCTCCATGCTCGGACTACCTCGCTTCCCTCGAAGACAGGTCGCACATTGCCAGTAGTTACCGACCCAGTGCCACTCGTGCAGCGGCGGTGCTGGGGCCTGCTCTTTAGCAGGTGCCTTAACTAACTCTACATTCTTGTCCATGGACAATTTGGGCCATAATGACATCAACTTGGCACCCAGACGCCCAACAGCACGGGCCACGGCGACGGACTTGTCAAGACCCTCGCTAAGCTCATCGGACGGGGCAGGATGCAAGGCAGCCGCAGCTTTGGCAGAAGTGTCGGCCCAGGAGTTGCCCTGTCTCACGTATCGATCCCATTCATCCGCAGCCTCCTCGACTGCAAGGTGGGCTTTCACCTTGGACACCTTGATCTTATGCAGGTGTTCCCAGGTGAACTGGGCGACTCTTGAAAACATCACCTTAGCCGAAATCCGTTTTGACCAGGGCATCGAGAAAAAGGTAACACAGCTCAAACAGTCCGAGAACGCTTCACACGGACCCGTGCTCCACTGGACAGCAACAGGCATGGCAAGACACTCGGCGGCCTGAGGGGCCTTGGGGCAGGGTCCCCAGACAGGCCCACGGACCCGAACACGCTCCTGCCCAGTCTCCCTGTCGACCACTGAAGGCCCAGCCCGCTCGGTTGGGTTCTTTCACGATGCATCTGGAACAGGATGCGTCCACGAGAAGGTCTCCAGGGAAGACGGCGTTCCGATGCCCTATCTCATCCTGCGTCCACTCCACCCGGATGCCTCCTCTATATCAAGCGGGGCAGGAACAGCATCACCAGGATGGGAGAATGTGCCAAACACTGCTGAGTTGTCGTCAACGTTGCTGGCCCACTCCTGGGTCTTAATGGGGCACGATGGAATTCCTTGGCTCCACCGCATCAGGGCATTGACAGTGAAGCACGGCCCGCCATGTTCAGCCGGGCACCCGTGTCCCACTCAAGACCCCTTACAACCGCCATGCGAAGCACCGAGGGGACCAACTTGGGCGAAAACTCAGTCAACTTGAACTTGAGCTCCTCTGTTTTGTCGGTGCGAAAAACAGCGAACGAGGGCATGGTCCAGGAGATCCGCTCGCAAGGTTTTCGGAGGGCCGTGATCGGTCCCGAGACCGATTGCCACAGAGGCGACTCTCCCGAGAAGCCCGCAACCCACGCCTCACGAAGCTCGGGAAGTGACAGGGCGTGATAATAAATACGATGATGGGATATCCAAATCTCCTTGGACCACCTGACCAATGGCGCCACTGACGCCCGCCAACATGGCTCGCCGTGTGCAAGAAGGAGCGCCGTCAGCGAGCGTCCTCGAGCAGAGGGTTGCAGAACAGAGGCCGCCTGTCGACGCAGGCGTAAAAGCTCGAAGTCACTTACACCATGGATCTCGGACCCGAAACGCTCCGGAGCCAGAGCTCCCGAAGCAAAAACACTTTTGGCCATTCGAGCCCCCACGGTCGGCCTCAGACGGGCCAGACGAACAACAAACCGCTCAGCTTTTTGCTCCCTTTTCTTTTGTTTAGAGCCCCTCCCTTTGACACGACGAGGCCGGCCTACGCAATCATCGGCGCCGAGGTTGGCGGCCGAGCTGACTGAGGGGCCAGCCAGGCCTCCCAGAGCAGACGCGAGCTCCCTCCCGAGCGCCTTCGAAGACACAAGTAAATACACACAAATAAACAGATTCCCCACATTTTCCTATATTTTCTGGGTTTCTGTCTTCCCCCCACTTCCTATATTTTCCCAGATTTTCTGGGAATCGACGATTAATTGTGCCTGTGTGTTTTTTCCCTCCTGAATGTAACATGCACAGCTTCGCGCGCACGCCCAGTGTCGTGGCTGCGTCACAGGCGTTGGTGCGTGCTCAAAAACAGCGCGCTCTCCCTCCTCCTGCTTTGTGTTCCCCTCCCCTGAGGAGGAGGAGGAGGAGGAGGCTTAATTCGGTGGCGAGCCTGGGGGGGAATTCGAAAGGGGCGCGGAGGGGCGGGCCTTCCCAGGCGGTCCTGAAATCCCCCGGCCTTATGAGAGTTGTTCTAGTCAGGAGGGGAAAAACACACACACACAGACACAATTAATCGTCGATCCCCCAGAAAATATAGGAACATATGGGAAGTGGGGGGAAGACGAAAACCCAGAAAATATGGGGAAATATGGGGAATCATTTCATTTGTTTGTATGTATTCGTGTGTCCTTGGGCCCCTTCATCCTGAGCCTGCTCCGAAGACGCAGGCAGATTTTCGGAAGGCCAGAGGGGGGGTTCTGAGACGCCCCGCCGCCGTGCTGCAGGGCCTTCTCCTTCTCGCTCCCCCCCCCGTTGACTGCAGCCTATCTGCCTTCCCGCGATCAGGCGACTGCACCGTGTGGGCGCACAGTGTCCGCGTGATGGCGGGGCTCGGGCTCCGCCAGGCCACGCTGGCCGCATGAGCTCGCTTGTGGCTGAATTGATGCTGGCGGCGAGCGAGGGGAAAAGGCGAGAGGGAACAGAAACTCTCCGAAGGCGGCGGGCGGCTTCTCAGAGGGCCTCGGGCCTTCTGAGGCAATGTCTGGTGCTTCGGGGAGGGCCCGAGGCCTGCAGAGCCGTCTGAAGAGGCCCGCCCCTGCTCGCTTCCTCCCCGCGCTCGCCGCCACGTGATGCACCCCCAGTGTGCCCAAAAGCCTCTAGCCACAACAGGGCTAGCAGGAGTGCCCGTGAGGATGCTACCATGCGAGACTGTCCGAGCGGTCTCCGTGCCCCGCGTTGCGCCCCCTCCTCTGCCTCTCCCTCCTGCTCCGTTTGAGCTCTGTCTCCTCCTTCCGACAATCCCCACCCGACCAGCTACAGTCGGGGCCCTGAAGAAGGAACCCTTTGCGTTGGGGAGGGGCTCCGCGTTCCTTAAGTGTTTCACAGTTTGCCTGGGGTTTTCTTTAAGTTTTCGATGGGAAATCGAAGTTTAACTTCTGGAGAAAAGGGGCCTCGTTCCTTATTTAGGGTTCCTTAGGTCAACGCCTCGACTGCATCCACCTGCGACCCAAATCCGTGGACGCCCTCGCCGGATCTCACGAGCCCCTCCTCTCCGCACGCGCCCCCCTCCACAGCCTCCGCACGCCGACTTCGACGACCATCCCCGAGGGCTCCGGCCCGCTCGCGCTGGCCTTGCGGGCCCCGGCCCGTCGGCGGACTCTGGCGCGCTCGCTCGCTCGCCCCATCTTACCAGCCTGGAACATATCCCTATCCCTATGCTGGGCACCTCCTCATCACGATGCCAATATTAGGGATTCCCTTATGTTTTGAGGGCGAATCCCTACGATTGTCATCGCCTTTTGGCGTGTCAATCTTAGGGATAGGGATACGTTCGAGGCTGGTAACCATCCTCCTCGCTGGGCAAGCCTGGCGTAGGGTGCGTTCCTCCTCTTGGGCGGGACAGCCTCCCTCCCTGGCCTGGTGCGGGGGCGCACGGGCAGGTCTGCCCCCGCTTTTTCCTGCCCCACTCCTGTCAGAAGGAGAAAAAACACAGACACAATTAACCGTCGATCCCCCCGAAAATATAAGAAACTATGCGAAGTGGGGGGGAAGACAGAAACGGGCCCGTTCATCCTGCGCCGACCACCCCCCTTTTTGAGCGGGGTGGCGCTTCCTCGTGCTGATCCGCATGTTTGCGCTCACTGGCCTGGTGCGGATACGCACGAGCAGCTCCGCCCCCCACAGGCGGTGGAGCTGCATAAGTCAGGCTCGGTGGGCAGCTGCGCATCAGTGCGCAAATGTTTCAATGCCTGCCTCCCTCTCCTCGTCCCAGTCCTCTTCCTCGCTTCTCTCTATTGCCCCTTTTTTTCCTCCACAGACCCTTCACTTATTATTATCTCCTGCTCCGATCACCCTTTTTGAGCTGAGCGGCGTCTCTTCGTGCTGATATATATATATATATATATATATAGATAGATGCTGTCCTCCTCTCTGGAACGCAGACCAAGACCATGTCCTCCTACGAGACGCACTCGACAGCGGAATTTCTCATGCTGAAGTTTGGATGCCACCGCAGTAATAAGAACACGACAGGCAACAAATCGTGTGGCACCGAGATTTGGCTGAGCAGACGATGGTTTCGGAAGACACACATCGTCAAGATCTGGCAGCCCCCACCCGCTCTCCGCGGCCGTGTAGGCGTTACGCGCGTGAAGAGCGCACTGTTCGACTTCATCTTCATCACAGTATACTCCCCTCCGAGATCGCAGCGCATCGCTACTGCCTCAAAGAACGAAGTCATCATCGACAAAATGCTCAGCTATCTCCACGACATCGTCTCGAATTTGCCGAATCGTACTTGCGTATTCATCGGCACCGACCTGAATGATAGCCTCGCGCACACCAACTCGACAGAAGACGACGATGTCACCATAGGTGACCATGCATACGGTCAGCAGCACTATGCGGGCGAAGCCTTCCTTACGTTTTTGAAAGACTACGCCCTGTTCGCGACGAACACGCACTACCCGTGCGGCCCTACTTATCACGGCCTACGTGGACACTCGAGCTACATCGATTACCTGGTGATGCCGATACGCTATCTACCGCGAGTGCGTCGCCATAACATCGCTTACCGCCAGACCAAACGACTCCGAGCATTTCTTCCCGTCTCAACGACTACTGGATCACATGATGCTATACATAGATGTGGACTGCACCCTAACATACGACAAACCTCAGACAACTCCGCAGTGGGACTACACACGTATATTCTTGGCCTGTAAAGATGGACGATTCTCTCAATGGGCGAAACAGCTACGCGACGACATTGAGTCTGACCTGTCTAACTACCTCAATGAGAACGGCTACCGTGATGTGGCAGACTGGGCTGAACGACACACGATGGAGTCGGGATGGCAATTATTGATATCTAAGATACGCACACGAGCTCTGGAGTATTTTGAAGCAAAGAAGTCCACGATCGAGCTAGAGTACCAGCAGCTAGCAGAGCAACGACGTCAAGCACTACATGCACGCACACAGGCTCGACATCACTTAACAAACGACCTCGAGGACGCGCTCGCTCTGCACCGCTGCAGCGCTGCCTGCAAACAACTTCGACGCCGACTACGTGACCTACGAGACGAACAGCACTTTCGCGAACTACAGCAAGCTGATGAGACTGGACTGGAGGCAGAGGTCTGGCGAGCTTGTCGACGCCTTGCAGGCAATGGAAAGGGCCCTGGTAAACGCTGCTACTTCGATCTACCCGACGCTCGCCCCTCGGTCCAAACATGGACTGAAGATATGGCACTTCCTGGCGCGGAAGGAGGAATGGAGGCGACACCGATTGATATCGAGCATTTCATCGACACCGCTGCGTCAAACGACGAGCGTTTCTACCCTTCAGCACATCAGTGGAGACACGCCCAGTACGACTTCGACGCGATCCAACGCCAGCTACGGATGCATTGCAAACGACGACGAGCTGCTCCCGAATGGTCGCTACCTGCAGAAATCTGGTCTCTTTTGCTAGCCGATAGAAGTGATGGCCGCAAAAAAGACGGCAGCCATGGGTACGACCACACGATGGTCTTCCCTGGCCCCCTCCTCGGCGATGCGATTCTTACACGACTTGCTGCGGTTCGTCAACATCGACGGCCCAATGCTTGGTGGAACCTTTCTCAGACCTATCAAGTTAGCAAAATGAACAATAAACCACGCACTCGCGGCACTCGGTTACTACACGGATTATGCACGTTTGGAAAGACATGGGTTGCTTCAAGACAGTCCCTTACGTCCACACCATTGCGCGATGCTGAGCACGGCTACGCGCGTGCACGATCACGCTCAGCAGCGATCGCAGTCGGCTTAGCATTGCAGTGGCGCCTCACCAAGCAGCAACGAAGCCACATCACCACGAAGCACGACATGACGAACGCCTTCGCCTCGGTGAACCATTCCCACCTCGACGACGCCGTGGACAAGATATATCTCCCTGGAGACTGTGCGATCATGAAAGGCAGGCATCGTCGTGCAGCATGTGTGATTAGCGACGGGATTGACACTCAGGCATACCAGAACACCGTCGGCTGCTTCATGGGAGGTGCCGATGCTGCGATCGAGTTTCGCGTGGCCTTCATGCAGCCCGCCACTGAATGGAATGATGCACTTACTACCGATGCCAGCACATCGATGATTGCGGGGTGCGAGTTTAGTGGCGCCAACGTCGACCTCAGCGTCCGCAAGTACGCCGACGACCTCACCAAGACCCACATGTGTCACGATGCGCAGATGGCGGCCTACAAAGTTCAACAATCCGACCAGATCCTGAATGACAAGCTGCGCTCCATCTGACTGGAGCAGAATGCAGCGAAAAAGAAGCTCTTCTACCGACGTTTGCTGGCGCAGGCGCTCACAGATACGCGCGCGCCCTGCATTATCGCAAGATGCCAGTTGACGGCGAAGTTCATTCCTCGACCCTGTTCTTAGGCTCCATCATGCAGGCTAACGGTCACAACCACGCCGAGGTCAAGGAACGGTGTATCGCTACGGCTCGCGGTTGGCGCAGTATGGGACGGTTCTGGAAGTATTGCCGATATTTGAGACGTCGTAAAATGGTTTTCAGAAGTCAGGTATTATCGGCCGCTACCTCTGGACTTGAAGCACGGGTACTGGCAAAGACACAATTCGATCAGATAGACGCCTGTGTAGCTCGTTACGCCCGTGCCCTACTTCAAGGTACTGCATATATCAGGCAGTCCGCCGACGACGACGCCACATCTGGTACCACCGAAGTTGTTCGCAATATATCATCTTATGCGGTCTGGAAAAAAAATGAAGATGGTACCGCCCTCTCTGGACATACAGATCGCGCGCATCAAGCGATGGCAACGCGGTGCACGAGAACCTGACCATCACGCTCAACTGCTAGCCTGTGTTTTTGGCAAACTACTATGCGAGTCCACGACGGCACTGGACTTCCCATGGGCCCCTGTACACACAGCCTCTACATACAGCGCTCGTGGCCCCCCTGAAGGGAACGGCCTCACACATATGACCAACCCTTGGCGCAAGCAGTTCTGTGACGACGTGAAGTTGCTGAACGTATTTGCAGACGGACGAGCATGCCTAGACGTCATTGGCGACGATCTGCTCGACATTTTTCGACCGACACCTAGTCGAGACGTGTTTATCAAGCTAACGGCTGCACGTGTACGAAAGTGGTGGATTGCACAGCCCGTCCCACCACCCCGCAGTGCTCCAGATGCAACAGTCGCCTGGAGTAGCCCCCATACGTGCGGCCTACTATGCGAGGATGGAGCGTTATGCCTGTTCACGGCCGAAACAAAACAAGCGGTCCGAGCGCACCAAACGATGAGTGGGGAGGGAGGCGAGCACGGACGAATATGCGAGCATACGAGATTCACGATTACGAGTCAATGCCCTAACTGCCGATCGACCTTCGCGAGCCGACAGACTGCGATCAATCATCTTGCTGCTGCTTATCGTTGTGGGAGATGCCAGAAACACCGCTCTGTTTACAACTTCGAGGTGAACGATCCTCCGCCTCACTGCCCAACGCTGGAGAGCACGCAGGCGCAGCCGCGGCAGATGCGACACAGCCTGCTCGCAAGTCCCGACGACGCCAGCCCACCGGCCGTGGAAACCAACAGAACGGGTCGAAGTCCAAGATGGTGGACCTGCAGTCACTCGAACTGGAGGAGATGGAACTGAAGGATATTCAGCGCATGTTTCCCAAATGGCATGAAGCTACTACTCAACGTTGCGATGAGGCAGCGCCAGACCGACGCCATACTGATCAAGACGTACCTCGTCTCACCAGGCACGAAAAGCGTCGTGGCGATCAGAGCTCGAGTTCGCGCATGGGTAAAAAGAGCCGAAGAGATACGAAGTACGACGACGGCAATGCAGATCGATGCGGAGATGGCGAAGATCGGCACGATCAGCACCGCAGCCTTCGCAGGTCTGCTCGAAGGTCTCCATCAGGAAGGCGCGTCTGTCGGCGGCCTCAACCAACAGAACCTGACAGCGCTGGGCGAGAAGCTGAAGACCATAGACATCAAGCAGATCGTCGAGCTCGCCCCGCTCGCGAAGGCCAGCGGCCTGCACGACGCCGCGCAGTGCAAGCTTCAGATCAGCCTCAACCCCAAGAGCGACGTCGACCTCAGCGTGATCCACGAATCACTCATCCAGACGGGAGCGATCTACAAGCCAGGGCAGGGTCCGATGGTGCACATGGAGAGGGTCCTTCACACGGAGCTGACGCAGTTAGAGGACGTGACCATGGGATAGATTCCAACGCCTTCAATTGGGCTAGACATAGTTGTGCGCTATGGGACACTCGTATTCCGAAGAATACGGTGACGACAGGCAGGGAGAGCCTCTCGCCTGCGTCTGGGTATGCGCCAACTACTACGCCAACAGTCCAGGGCATGGACAGCCCACCACACGCACCTACGAATGCGCCTCCTTTGACGCCAGCAGTTCAGGGCAAGGGGTGCCCACCGTCTGCATCACAAAGTGCGCCTACGCCATCTGTTGTTCAGGGCCTGGAGTGCCCACCCACTGCTTCACAGAGTTCGTCTACTACAGTTGTTCAGGGTATGGGGCGCCCACCTCCTGCATCACAGAGTACGCCGATTTATACGCCAGCAGTTCAGGGCATGAGAGTCCCACCTCAAGCATCGAAGAGTGCACCCACCGCTACTGCAGTCACTCAGGGCACGGACTACCCACATATCGCGCCGACGAGTGCGCCCTCAGCAGTGGTTCGGGGCATGGGAAGCCCACGTCGATCACCTACGAGGGCTACCCCTTCGAGTACCCGTACTGAGAGGTGGACAGCTTCGCTGTTAGCACACGCCCGCGCCCTCGCCCAGGCTGGGACGCAGAGCCGCTCTGAGGACCCAGAGCCTAGCCTGCCCAGCGCCCCTGTTCCCCCTCCTCCGTCCTCCGAGCCTCCCCTTCCTCCTCCCCCTAAGGGGCCTCGCAGGACTTCCGTCCCACCGCCAGATCGCACTATTCATACATACAATTCCCGCGGCTCGTCTTTTCCTCCCACTGCTGCCAGACAAAGCACAGGTGTCGATTCAAGGACGATGGATGCCATTATGAGACTCGTAGGAACGAGCAGGCGCTAAGACCTGCGTTTCGTTGTCTGTCAGTGTGTGACTGTATGGTTTATTTTCGGGTGTAGCCCGATCCTAGAGGCACTCGGCGTCCGAGACATCCGTACTGCTGCCTCCGAGGGGTCCGGTCCGATCCGATATAGAAAGAATTATATATGGATATGTGTACGAACACACACATATATACACAAACACCTAAGGGACATCAGTGATCTTAAACTCTTTCGGGCCATCCTGGAAAACCTCTTGGGGCCCTATTTGGCCGTCTTGGAGCCCTTTTGGGAGGCCTTTGGGTCTGTCTTGGTGGCTTCTTGGGCGAACTTGGAGGCATCTTGGACCCTCTATGGCCGCCTTGCAGGCCATCTTGGACCATCTTAGGCGGACTTGGAGGCCATCTTGGGCCATCTTGGCCGTCTTGAAAGCATGAGCGTGATTCAAGCTCACCCCCGAGGGTTTGCAAGAGGGGCAGAGGGACATATCAGCCAGATAGAGGCCCCGCAGAGGCCGAGATCCCCGTTTCCTTCCTGCCTTTGCTCTGCCTGTTCTCACCCTTATTTCCCGCTGCCCCCTCGGTTCCATTTCATTATGCAGGGCCCTTGGCCCGTAAGCTACGCTTCGCTGCGCCGCGTGAGAGAGTAAAAGATATCCTGGCGCTGCGCGCCCATCCATACCACACGCGGGACAATCACGGTACAATCCGCGCATCAAATCATGGCACATCCGCGGGTCGATCTAAGAGACCACGGGATACCCATTCAAAAAACAAAGGGCCAGCCTCGGGACAGTCACGGGACAAGCATGGGACAGCTCGCGCTACAGCCCACAGGACAACCCACGGGACGTCCGCGGGTCATCCACAAGGACGAACCCGCGCAGCGCTGCGACTGGGCTGCTTTCGCGGGCGACCCTCGCGCAGCTCTGCCTCGCCCGCACCCGCGACAGCAGCCGCAACCGACGCCCGCTTCCCAGCGTCAGCAGAAGGGAAAGGTACTCCAGATTTCGTAACAAAGGGAGGGGGGTCTCATTTCGGGGGGGTCTCTTCCAAGCTATCTTGGAGGGCCTTGGGGGGTCTGGGGACTATTTTTTGGAGGGTTCTCCCACGGGGGAGGTCTGAAATGGCTTGTCTTGGAGGGTCCAGACCCCCTCCCTTTTATTACGAAATCTGGAGTACCCATACCGCTACCCTTCGCCAGTTTTTTTTTTTTTTTTGTCGGTCTCCCGGGAGGCCCTCGCCGCCACCGCTGGGCTTTCGCCCCGAAATTTGGGCCAGACCGCACCCTGGGAGAGGTCCGGGAAGTAAACGTTACTGGTACTCCAGATGTCGTAATAAAAGGGAGGGGGTCTGGACCCTCCAAGACAAGCCATTTCAGACCTCCCCCGTGGGAGAACCCTCCAAAACATCGTCCCCAGACCCCCCCAGGCCCTCCAAGATAGCCTGGAAGGGACCCCCCCCGAAAAGAGACCCCCCTCCCTTTATTACGAAATCTGGAGTAACTTTTGGTTTTCCCAGCACCCGCGACACCAGCCGAAGCCGACGCTCGCTTCCCAGCTGGGGTCAGTTCGTCCTCGCCCCAACCCCGACCTCCGACGGCATTTTTTGTTGGCCAGGGGTCCTCCGTGCCGGCAGTGGTTACCATTTCCACGGTCTCGATTTCCGGAGGATGTCTGCTGCCACGATCTCGACGTGCACGATTTGACGTGCAAGATCAGGGCCGCTTTGCACTTGGTTTTTCAAGCTTCTGCACGATTTCACCCTTCAGCCGCCCTCATCCCTCTTTGCTTCCCACCGCTCCTGACAGGGCTCGTTTCGATTCCTCCGATTCGATTCGATTCGATTTCGATGGCTCCCGATTCCGATTCGATTCGACTTGAGATTCCGACATGGGTTCCGATTTCTTATTGGAGGCCTACTAGCCTGCCGATGTCTGCCGATTCGACTTTTCCCGACTCGGCTGCCGATTTCCGCCGATCCGATTCATTTCGATCGCCGATCCGACTTATCGATTCGATTCTGGGCTCTCCTGCCTGAAGGAGGACGAGGGGGTGGGTGGCGCGGAGAAGGAGAGGGCAGACGGATGGGGGGAAAGAGCGGCAGGAGGGCCGAGTGCATGAGGGAAGAGGAGGGATGCTGAGGAGGGCAGGAGGATGATCAGGAGGAAAAGAAACACACAGACACAACTAATCGTCGATTCCCCAGAAAGTATGGGAGAACATGGGAAGTGGGGGGAAGACAGAAACCCAGAAAATATGGGAAAATATGGGGGATGATTTTATTTGTGTATATTTATTTGTGTGTCCCAGTTTCCCTTCATATATGAGGGAAGAGGAGGGATGATGAGGAGGGGAGGAGGATGAGGAAGCAGACAAGGGCGAGGCGGAAAAGCAGGAGGAACATGGGGACGGTGCTGAATAGAAGGAGGGGGGCACGAGGAAGAGGGGGTGGATGCCGACGAAGCGAAGCAGGGCACATGCGACGGAGGCGGAGGAGGAGAACGAAAACGAGCTGGACGATCGTCTGGGTGCACTGTCATTGGCAGGACTGTGGAAAAGAGGGGCAGCGAAGAACTGGGGGTCGACGGCGCGTTGTGTCCGCCCGTCGCTTCCTCCTCTCTCCACTCTGTTCCTTTTCCTTACACATGGTTTCTCCCTGTTGCACCCCGAGGCTGGTCGAAAGGGCGGGCCAGGAGTTTCGCCAGAGACTTCCTCACCACTTATGACCCTGACGAGTAAACTTTGGCAGCAGCTTCACAGATGGAGGGCGGGTCGTTTTCAAAATCTAGCTCGCGTTTCAGCGCCGCGAACATTCGTTTGAAACAATTGTAAGGGTTTCACAATTTTTGAGGGCGGGTCGTTTTCAAAACGTGGCTCTCGCCGCAGCGCCGCGCTCATCCGTTTGGAAGAACTGCAAGCATTTCGCGGGTTCGGGGCGGTGCCTTTTCAAAGTGTGGCTCTCGCCGTGGCGCCGCGCATATTCCTTTTTCTGAGCATTGCAACGGTTCCACGGATGCCCGTGGTCATGACTCAGGGTCGTCAGGACGCAACAGTCAGGCTGACCCGCGGCGTTGGAGTCCCGAGAGTCATGTTTCGGCATGCCTCCGGGTCGTCAAAACGCCCGTCTTCCAACGGGGCAGCTCCCTCAGTGCGAACGAAGCCTTGTAGGGGCCTCTGAAGAGGGAGCTTGGAGGGAGGGTTCCTTCCAACACCGTTGGTGACTCCTGGGTTTACACTCTCGTCCTCCTTCCTCCCCCTCCTCCCCCTCCCGGTTTGGGTGTGTGTGTGTGTGTGTGTGTGTGTCCGCCTGGCCTCCACGTCGGGCGCGATTCGAGGGAGGCCCAGGGGCACCAGGACTTGCCACCGCTTGCCCTCCCGCCTCCAGCTGGTGCTGAGCACATCGGCGACTGCAGAGGGTGCGGTCTGCGATCGGCGCCGTTGGGGCCGGGAGAGCACGACGCTGTCTCTGCCGGGCCTCCCCGGGGCGCGGCGGGGAGCTCTGCCGAGGTGCCCGCCCCCCAGGGTGAAGGCTTCTTGGAGGCATCCCTTCTTCTCAGGCGGCGCGGGCCTTGTCTGTAGATGTGGTACCGGCGCCTTCAACGAAGCAGCCTCCTTCCAAGAGGCCTTCCCCCCTCCCCCCACCCCCCTCGCGCGCCGCCAAAGGGGGCCAGGTGCGGGAGTGGCCCCATGCAAAGACAACCCTCTGAGAAACCTCCCTCGACCATGCCAACACCACTTCTCCTTGGATTTCAACGGCGCGAATCAGCGTGACTGTTGCGTCCTGTCTGTCCTAAGACGCGCCAGAACACCATTTCTAGGACGTCAACTCCGCGGGCCATCGTCACTGGAACGCCCTGACAATTCTAATCATACTAGCACACAATTCCTGGGAGCTCAACCCCATGCATTTTCTGGAAACGGTTGAATTTTTAGAATGTGTGCGGCGCCCAGGCGACAGCCACATTTTGAAAACGACCCGCCTTGTACCTTGGAAGCAATTGCTAGCTGTTGCGCCGAATGTGTGTGGCGCAAGGGCGAGAACAACACTTTGTGCATGAGCCGCCTTTCATCCTTTGAAGTTGTTGAAGTGATGGGGAAGTTTCAAGCGGAACGCCAGGCCCGCCTTACCAACACGCTTGGGGGTGCGGTAGGCAGGAGTTAGGTATGAGGAAAAACGATGGGGAAAGGATAATGCCTCGTGCCGTTCCCGTTTGCACACGTTTGCGGCGATTGTTCAGTTTAACCGTTGCCCCGTGCGCAGTCTGGTCATTGAACAAGTGTGCCAATCTGATGCTGGGGGAACGCCCCCGCGACACTCCAGGAGAGAGCTGGTCGTGGGATGCGGAGGCCCGCGCTTCGATGAATGCCGCCGCCGCGCTGAAATACGATGCAGACCAGTTTCACATGTGGGCTTGCATGGTAGATTGCCCGTTCGTTGGTTCGCTTTCCCACCCGGAGTGTGGAAGGGCTTACCTTCGCATCTCGTGACAGTGCTGAGCAGACAATTGTCTCTAAAACAGGGACACGAATTGCATGATGTTGATGATGTTGTTGAGAAGGATAGTGATGATGTTTATGATTCTGATGGTGGTGATGACGGTGTTGACGATGGCGATGATGATGGTGGTGGTGATGATGAGGATTAAGTTGTTGATGATAATGATGATGAGGGTGGTGATGCTGCTGCTGCTGCTGCTGCTGCTGCTGCTGCTGATGATGATGATGATGATGATGATGATGATGATGATGATGCTGCTGCTGCTGCTGATGATGATGATGATGGTGGTGATGATGATGATGATGATGCTGATGATGCCGATTGTGATGATGCTGATGATGCTGAGGATGGTGATGATGGCAACCATACTGAAGATAGTAACCATAATGATTCCTCTCGCTTCGCGGGGTGCACGTCCAGAGCACGTACGGTCCAGTCGTAGTCGGGCCTATGGGAATTTCTTGGGGGCCCCTTGGAGGCCTCTTTGGGGCCTCTTTAGGGCCTCTTGGTCCTCGCGGGGGCGTCCGGGAGGTCTCTTGAGGGCCTCTGGGAGGCCTCTTGGGGGCCTCTCGGAACCCGGTGCGGTCGTCTTGGAGGCGTTCTTGCGCTATGTGGTCCCTTCGGGGACTGTCTTGGGGTACTCTTGGGCCGTCTTGGGGGCCTCTTGCTCTTTGGGCTTTCTGGGAGCCCTCTTGGGCCGTTTTTGGGGCCCTCCTGAGGGCTTTTCGGGCCGTCTGGGGGCCACTTCGGAGGCTGTTTCGGCCGTCCTGGACCTCTGAGAGTCGAAATAGGCGGGAACGCTGAAATCTTCAAAAAACCATCGGAACTTCAATGGTTTTTGCTTCTGGAGGTGCTCTTGGGGGTCCTCTGGGGGCCCTCTTGGGGCGTCTTAGGGGTCTTTGTAGGCCCTCTTGGGGCCATCTTGGGCCGTTTTGGGGCCGTCTTTGGCCGTCTTGGGGACATCTCGAACCGTCTTCAGGCTCTGTTGGGCCCCCATGAGGGCCAACAGGCCCAACTCGTTGATGTTCTATGGGTTTGGGTGGAGGTCTGGAAAAGGAAGGACCGGACGTGCCCAGCGTGTCGCCCTAGTTCGATGTGGACGTGCGGCAAGTCCGAGGCCGAGAGTCCTCGGGAAGCAGTGGCATCGTCTAACCGCGGCAAAGCAGGTCTGGTGTGCCCCGCCTGCCGGAAGCTCCAGTCCGCGCCGGAGTGGCCTGTCCTTAGCGGCCGCAGGAAGAAGGAGTAGAATTGGCGCAGTGTGTCGGTGTGGGACGGTTCTGCAAGCTCGTCTGCCGCCACGTGGGTTCCGCACGCCGTGCACGCCGTCCTACCGTTTCGGCGTCGGTTGGGGGGCCTATTGCACGCACCTTGGAAGTCATACGGCGCCTCTGGGGCTTCTGCAGGGCCCCTTTGAGCTGCTCGGAGTCTGCCCAGTCCAGTCCTTTGGAGACCTCTTCGGCCCCTCTTGGGGAACTCCTGGGGGGCTTCTTGGGGGGCCTGTTGGACGAGTCCAGTCCAATCCGTTGGAGACCTCTGGGGCCGCTCTTGGAGGGCTCCGGGGGGCTTTTTGGGGGGCGCCGTCGAGCCCGTTCGGAGGCCGTCTTGGGGGCTTGTCGGGGCCGCCTGGTGGCTCTTTCTGGGAGGCCCCTTTGGGCTGTCTTGGGGGCCTCTTGGGACGTTTTGGGAGCTTCTTTTCGGGTATAGCCAGGACCCCAGGTAAGGGGACCCAGTTAGCGGTAGGGCCCCGGGGCCCTTGAATTGGCCAGATTCACTAAACCAGGTTTGCCGCAACTGGTGTTTTTCGGGTGACGGCAGTTCTGGTTCGAGGAAATGGGGCGGGAAGGCGCCCCCGGCACAAATCATTAACCCAGGTTCCATTCAACCCAGTTCTGCCAACGCCCGATCTTTGGGCCGCCCTGGGGTCCTGAAGGGCCGTCTTGGGGGTCCTATCGGGGGCTATGTGGGTTGTCGTGGGGCAATGTGGGAGGCTGCTAAGGCCGTCGTGGGCCTCTGAGAGTCGAAATAGGCGGGAACGCTGAAATCATACAAACGCCATGGGGAAATCAAATATTTGGGTTTCTGGAGGCGCTCTTGGGAGTCCTCTGGGGGCCGTCTTGCGCCTTCTTGGGGCCTTGTTGGGCCCCCATTGGGGCCATCTTGGGCCGTTTTGGGGCCGTCTTGGCCCGCACAGAGGCCATCTTGAGCCGTCCTGACGCCCTCGCGGCCCCCCAAGAGGCCCAAGAAGCCGAAACCATCGATTTTACATAGGTTGTGGTAGGTTTTGGAGCCCCCAAAAGGGGGTCGCCAGGTTGGGTCGACGGATGTGGCGTAGCCCCTGGGGGGTGGGTAAGGGGGAGACATAGTAATGTAACAATCATACAGTTATGGGATAAACTGGATACGTTGCAGTATCGCCCCCGCAGAAAGCGCTGCCGCTCAGCACGTCACTTCCGGACGTGGATTCAACAGGCTTACGCCACATCCGCCGACCCTATTATATAAACGACAGTGCCTCCAAATTAGGGGACCTTCTTCGCATTTGCTTCGTTCTAGTCGCATCGTCGTTGCTGTTGCTTCTTCGTTTGTTGTAAGGATCTGGAGGCCGTGCGCGGGCTCACGGATGGCGAAGTGGGTTGTGGATCTGAGGCCGTTCGGACGGCCGATGGGGTTTCGTGTGAGGGGCTTTCTGTGGCCAGTGTTGTCAGGAGCGAAAGAAGGACGTACATGTACATGAATCCACGCTGGTTTCGAGAGCACGCATTGCAAAAATGTTCGTATCACGCGGCCGGTCTCGCGAATCGAGGGGCCGTGTTCATGTACATAGCTGGGCGTGTACGTCCTTTGTGGGCTCCCTATGTTGGGGGGACTTGGGGGGCCCCGGGGAGCTCTCGAGGGGCCCTTCGGGGGCTCTTGCGGGGTTCCTTGGGGCCCTCGGCGCCTCTCGGGTTTTTTGGGGGGGCGACGTGGGGGCGGCTCGGGGCCGACGGGTCGACATTTCCGTTCGGGCTCTGCCTCTGGGCCCTCCTCGGGGGGCTGTCCTGGGGCTCGTCTGGGCGTTTTGGGGGTTTCTCAGGCCGTTCTGGGGCTCTTTAGGGCTGTCTTGGAGCTGTCTTTGGGGCGGGAGCCCTAGTGGCGAATCTGCTCAAATATTCCGTTTCCCGAAGGGCTGGGACGATTTTCGGTTTTGGGGGGCCCTCTCGGGGAGGTTTTTGGAGGCCTCTTAGGGCATCGTGGAGGCACCCTCGGCCGTTTGGACGCAATCTTGGCGAAGGTTTTTTGGAAGGCCTCAGGGGCAGTCTTGGCGCTCCAGAAGGAGACCGGGGTGGACCTGACCCCTCGGGTGAGTTCGGGGGTGGGTCGTGCCAGCCTGGGGGAGGGTTCAATTCCTGGTATGGGGCCCCTGGGGGGCTAATTGTTTTTCTTGAGAATCTCACGCGCCTGGAGTCACACAAGGGGTCGGCGGATGATGATGATAATGATGATGACGATGATGATGATGATGATGATGATGATGATGATGATGATGATGATGATGATGATGATGATGATGATGATGATGATGATGATCATGATGATGATGATGATCATGATGATGATGATGATGATGATGATGATGATGATGATGATGATGATGATGATGATGATGATGATGATGATGATGATGATGATTATGATGATGATGATGGTTTGTACTTGTACGTGAATCCTGTGCGCCTCGTCGGATGTCAGCCGCTCGACCCCCAGTCGACCCCGAACAGTGTTTAAACAGTAGTCGATCAAGCAAACGTGTTTCAACATGCGTTCGCCGCAACTGCGGTGGCTCAAGCTTCAAAGGCTCGTGCCACCGTCCCGAGGGCTGCGCATGTGGGACTGGCTGCTGCAGAGGGGCCCCGAGTATTTGGCCCAGGGCGTCGTGAACTACGCGGCACGCTGCCCTGCCATCCCCGCCTGCCCGCAGGCGACGTGTCCGTCCTGCCCAGGGCTGACCTGCGGGGACTGTGTGGTGCCGGCGTGCCCGGCGTGCCCAGCTTGCCGACCGATCACGGTGCCGGCAGGGGCTGCCGCCTTCGCCGAGGCGGCTGGTGCTCGCGAGGAGGCCGCGAGCTGCGCTGAGCCTGGGCTGGGCTACCTCGCGTACCTGATCTTCCTCCTCGGCGTCGTGGTGGGCGGCGTCCTGGCGACTGGAGGGCTTGCCGTGGGCGGGCTGTTGCGCCGGCTGTGCTGCAGGCCCGTGAAGGACGCGGTCAGCGAAGATGAGCTGGAGTTACGTCCTGTACAACGTGGAAGGCCAGCCGCTCTGGCACCAGCGCCGGGTGCACGGGGTGGTGGCGCACTCGGGTGGTAAGACCTACGTGGCCGCCGCCACCGCCGACGCACACGTCTACCCAGAGGACTGGTCGCCGACCTCAGAGGACGTGCTGGCGGTGCGCTGGTGCAGCGAGTTTCGAGAGCTGCCGGCCGGTGTGCCCAGGGATCGGGTGCACCGATTCCGACGGGAGCCGACGGCCGCGCGGGACGCCGCCTTCCGGCATGCGGCCGAGGACGAGGCTGAGGCCGAGGGTCGGCGCCTGCTGGCAGCGGCGGGCGGCGCGGCGCCACCGGCGGGCTTCGTGTGGCTGCTGCCGATCGACGCCGCGGGCCAGCTTGTGGGCGGTGCCGGCGGAGCGGGGGCCATCGTGCCTGCGGGCGCCGGCGTTCCGGGCGCACCTCCTGCGCCGGGAGCGGCCCAGCCTGCCGCAGCCGGCGCCGCAGGTGCCCCCGCAGCGGCGGCCGCGCCCCCGCCCCTGCTGGTGGGGCCCTTGCAGGGCGTCGCGCCGGCAGCGCCTGCCGCAGGCGTCGGCACGGCGCGGAGGGCTGCTGAGAGCGGGGGCGGCTTCCGATTCGGAGACCCTGTCCCAGGCCGCGTGCGGAGCGCCCAGGCGATCGGCTCGAAGGATTTCCACCTCTTGCCGGACGGGACCGCCCTGTTCGTCGAAGAGGTGACTGCAGCGACTGAGGTCGCCTTTCTCGACAAGGGGGTGTTCGGCGACGCTCGCTTCATGGCGGTGCGACGCAACCGGCAGGGGCGGCGCGAGCGTACCTGGGCGGAGATGGTCGCGGCCGTGGTGCAGGAGGAGTTCAGCAACGACTGGGACTTGCCCGGGCCAAGGTCCGTGCTGTGGTGCCTGGAGTTCATCAACCATGAGGGGCTCGGTCTCGACGGGCATCACGAGAGGTTTCGCATTCTTTGTAAGTTGGAGTTCTCGAGTTGGGGCGTGTCCGAGCATTACAATATCACGCAGGCCTTGAAGTTCGGCCTCCTTCACGACCAGATGGACGGCACCAATCTGATGATGGTGGAGTCCATGTTTCGCCGACTTCAAACGATCGAGTTCGCGCGCTCCGAGCGGGCTCGCGAGCAGGAGGCCAAGGGCTACGGAGGGGAGCTCAGCCTCGAGGAGCAGATGGCCTTTGCGGGCACCGCCCGCGCAGGTGGCTCCCTGATGATCTGCCCTCTTCTGCTGGATTACGTGCGGGGCGAGGTCGAGCGCGAGGCCTCGCTTGCCAAGAACTTGCGCGAGGCCCGAGAGGAGCGAGATGCTGCCCGGGCCAAGGATAAGACCAAGAAGGATGCCGGGTGAGCGCCTTGTGTCGAGGCCACATCCGGTTGCGCGGGCTGAGGGCATGACGGGGCCCTCAGCTCCGCGCGGCCCGCCTGATGCAGGCGTGCCCGTGCTATCCCGACCTTCGAGTGATCCTGCGAGCCAGGCCCCAGGGCGCGCGAGCGAAGCTTGTCAATTAGTCCCCCCCTCCTTGCCTCCGTCGCCTCCCCCTCTCTCTCTTCCTGGGAAGACTGGATGCATGGCCCGAGCCGTCAAGTGCCGCGTGAGTTGTCCCCTCTTCCTCGTCCTGACGTTTTCAGGGTCGACCGCGCGCGAGCTAATGAGATGTCTCGTGGCACGCGGCAGAGGTTGTGTAGGCGCCAGGCCGAGGAGCGCGAAGTTGACCGTGCGCTCTGGGGCCCTAACTCGCTTTACACTCATCAGCCGCAGCCCCGCGACCGCGCCTCCCCGGGCAAGGGGCCCGAGCGAGGCGCCGAGTGCGGATCCTATCATTTTTTTTCTGCCGGTCAGGCCGGTGCGCTGGATCGTGTCCGACGCGCCGTGCGCGACCTTGGCCCTCCACCTGTGGGGGCCTCCCCCGCGGAAGCTCTCAGGAAGCTTCGCGTGGCGAGCTGGTACGACGTGGACAGTACTACGCTCGGTCGCCACTCTCTCGCCGACGTCTCACTGCCTTCAGGCGACGTCAGGCCTGTGCCTGTGTCTGAGCTTTGGGGCGAAGGCGGGTGCCACATGGTAGAGGACTTCTGCCGCTTGAATGTCGTTCCGCCGGAACAGTCGCGAGCCCGACTCCGCTCGTCAGGTGTGGTCACTCCCTACTCCGATCCCAAGCTTAGACGCCCTCGAGCCTTTGAGGAATTCATGTCGGCGTTGGCCGCACGCGGAATGCTTGATTTCTCGCTCGAGGATGGTGAGCGAGTGGAGCCGTTTTTTGTGACCAAAAAGAATGGCGAGCTCAGGCTTGTCGTAGACTGCAGGCGTTCAAACTGTCATTTCACTGAGGCCGGTGGGGTCTCGCTCTGCACTGGTGAAGGGCTTTCCGCCATCGAGCTGGGGACCGACGAGGATATCTTTGTTGGTGGCGCGGATTTGAGTGATGCGTTTTACCACATGGGGCTCCCCAAACCCCTTAGAAAGTATTTCACTGTTCGGCCCGCGCGGGCCGCGTCTGTAGGGTGCACAGAGATTGGGGGTCGAGCTGTGGCTGCACATGAGAAGGTTTACCCTAGGCTCGCTGTCATTCCCATGGGATGGTCTTGGGCTTCATGGATGCGCCAGAAGATACACGAGAGGATAGTGGAGGCAGCTGGCTCGGAGCCCAAGCTTAGGATCACCGACAAGACGTGCGCTCCAGACCTCAGCCAGCCGTGCCACACGCAGTATGTGGACAACTACATTGCGATCTCGACCAACCGGGACAACGTGAAAAATTCGGTGTCGTCTGCCATCACCGCTCTGGAAAGTCGGGGACTCGTCGTTCATGAGGAGGATCATGGTGGGGAGGAGGGTACTACTGCCAACGATCGTGGGAGTGGGCGACTCGTTGCTTCCCCGGAACGTCTGCGGCGCGCTCGGCCTGCGATTCGTGCTCTTCTCGCTCGTGGTCGGGCCAAAGGTCGAGATGTTGAAAAGCTTTTCGGGCACCTGGTTTTCATCTCCTTGGTTCGGCGGGAGGGCCTCAGTTTGTTCTGGAGTTGTTATGGATTTATTCACAAGCATTACGACAGCGACGTTGCCTTGTGGGCCTCTGTTCGGCGTGAGCTCAGTATCTGGGACTCTATCTCTCCACTCCTTTATCGCGATCTTCGGGCCGCTTGGGGGGGCGAGGTTGTCGCAGTTGATGCCAGCGAGTGGGGCCTCGGGGCCTGCTCGAGCCGCTGCGGATCCTCGCTCTGTTCCCAGGTCGGCCGCGCATCCGAGAGGTGGCGCTGGGGTCGTGGGGGCGCTCTTGGGGGCCCTCGTCGCCATGCTGGGCGCTGGGCTCGTGCTGCTGCCGCGGCGGCGGCCCTTGAAGGGTCCGCCGAGGAGGCCGCCCCTTGGATGTGCGGCCCCGACGACACCCAGGAACCTGCTCGCAGTGATCTTGATGCTGGGGCCCCTGGGGACATCCACGTGTTTGGGCGTCTACCATGGGCCGATGATTTTCCCGAAGTTCCCAGGGAAATGATTGAGCAGGATTGGAGGGTGGTGGGCCGTTTCGAGTGGCGGAAGAAGGGCGAGAGCATCCCGGTCCTGGAGGCCCGCGCTACCCTGTACGGCTACAGGCATCTTCTGCGTAGTCGTCGGAATCATGGTAAACGTCTCGTTGTTTTGGGAGATTCGATGAGTGTGGCGGGAGCGGTGTCTTAGAGCCGCAGTGGGAGCCGTGCGATGCTGTACGTGACGCAGAGCATCGCCGCCCTCTCCCTGGCGACAGGCTCCTCTCTCCACTACCGCTGGCTCCCCTCGGAGTGGAACTCAGCCGACGGTCCCTCAAGGGGACGTTGGCGACCCGCAGCGCCCTCGGCGCTCGCCCCGCGCGATGCTCGCGCGCGCGGCCCCAGTGCCCGCCAGCGCGGGGGCGCTGGTGCAGGTGCTGCCTACGGGACTGCTGGCACGCGGACCCCAGGCGGAGGGGGCCGCTCCGCTGGCGCTGGGCGGGCCGCCGCGCATGGCGTCGGCGCCGACCTCGAGCCGGCCTACGTCGTCAGCATGTCTCCGAGTGCCAGCGGTGCGCCAGCAGCGTCTCGTGCGGCGGCGGCCGGCCGCCTCAGCAGCCCCCCCGGGCTCGGTCGGGCCCAAGCGCCGCAAGGTGAGCCAGCGAGCCTCGCGGGCTGCGGCTCGGCGGCCCACAGCAGCGCGGCTGCCGGGCATGACGGTGCTGGAGGCGGCGTCCATCAAGCCGAGGACGCGGGACCGCTACCAGGAGATCTTCGCCGACTTCCTGGTGTGGGCGAACGGCCGTCGGCTGACGACCGAGGACCTTGTGGACCAGGCGATCGCGGAGTGGCTGGGCGACCTCTACCTGGGCGGCGAGGACCTGAGTGCAGGGTCCCGGGCTTATGCGGCGGTGACTTTCTTCGCCGGCCTGAACAAAGCGTCGGGCGCGCTGATGCCTCGGTCGCGCCGCGCCCTCCAGGGCTTTCGCAAGCTCGCACCACCGCGATCTCGATTGCCGATGCCCTACATGGTAGCGGCGATGGCGGTGATGGAGCTCCTGGGCCGACAGCGTTACCAGAGTGCGCTCGCCGTCCTTCTCATCTTCGAGCTGTGCCTGAGGCCCGGAGAAGCGTTCCACATCAGGGCGGTGGACCTCGCCCCGCCCGTGGCGAGGGTCAGCGGAGCGCCCCACTGGTGCGTGACTCTCCATGCCGCCGAGACCGAGAGGGAGTCCAAGACCGGCGAGTTCGACGAGAGCCTGTCTCTGGATCTCAGCCGGCAGTCCTTCATCGGGCCCGCGCTCGACCTGATGCTGAAGCACCAGCTGGGCGCGGACTGGCGGCGCGCAGAGCAGAGGCACGTCGGCTCCGGCCTGCACCTGGCGGCGCCGCTGTTCACCGTGACGCTCGACGAGGTGACGAGGGACTTCAAGGGGGCCGTCGAAACGCTGGGGGTGGACACCGCGCTGGGCGCCGCCCACATGTACATGCTGCGGCACGGCGGCGCCTCGCACGACTACGCCTCGGGCTGCCGCCGCTTGGAGGACGCGCGCCGTCGCGGGCGCTGGCGTTCGTGGTCCTCGGTCCGGCGCTACGAGAAGGGGAGCAGGTTGGGTCAAGTCGTTCACAAGCTCGGGCCGGTGCTCCAGGCCCACGGCAAACTCTGCGTCGAGCTGCTGAGCGAGGTGGTGTCTGGCCGGCGTTGCCCTGTACCATTCACCTCCGGCAGCGTGTCTTCGTCGAAGCCTTCTCGGGCAGCGGCCACCTCTCGGAAGCGATCTCGAGGGTAGGTGTCACCGCCCTGCTGTGGGACACTAGCCTCGGCGAGTCGTGCGACCTTAGGTGCAAGCGCAATCGCCTCCTTCTCCTCGGGTGGGTGAGAGCAGGGCTGGTGGCTGGCGCCCATGTGGCCACGCCGTGCTCGTCCTTCAGCCGGGCCCGAGACATCCCCCCAGGTCCCCCCAGGCTCCGAACCGATTCGGAACCTATGGGCCTTGGGGGGCTGTCCCAGGCCGATCAGGAGAAGGTGGCGATTGGGAACATGCTGATGCTGTTTTCCGCTTCCCTTATCCGTGAATGCAGGCAAGTTCAGGTACCGTGCTCACTGGAGAACCCCGCCAGAAGCCGCCTCTGGATTTGCCCTGCTATGCGACGTCTCGCCCGTGCTCAGGGCATCGCTGTTGTCACCGCCGATTTTTGTCAAGGGGGGGTGCCCTGGAAGAAGAGTGCCACCTTCTTGTGCTACGATCTTGACCTGGCCGAGCTTGAGGCGGCCAGATGCGCCGGGAGTAAGAGAGGCATTTGCAAGCGTGCCGGTCTTCCCCATCAGCAGCTCCAAGGCAAAGATCAGACCGGCAATTTCTACACCAAGCTTGCTGAGCCTTGCCCTAAGAAGTTGTGTAAAGATATCGCGGACGCTTATTGCAAGACTTGGGCCAAATGTCTCGGGGAGTCCTTTGGGCGCTTTATGCAGTAAAAGGTTATGCGGCTCTGGCCAGTCTGCTGTTTTGGAGTCAACAGTTTTTGCAGGTGCTTGACGTGATTCGGTCGCGGCCTCATGGAGGGCCGCTTCAGTCGTTCTGGTGCTCGCGGAGGCTCGACTTCTTAGACCTCGAGGTTGTCTGGCTGAGAAAGAGACGGGAGCTTGGGATGGTTTGCGCTTGTACGTGAATCCTGCGCGCCTCGTCGGATGTCAGCCGCTCGACCCCCAGTCGACCCCGAACAGTGTTTAAACAGTAGTCGATCAAGCAAACGTGTTTCAACATGCGTTCGCCGCAATTGCGGTGGCTCAAGCTTCACCTCCCTTCCCCCGACCTCCACCCCTGATTTAGAGTTGTCAACTTGTGTCTGGTTTCGCGCAGCAGGTGCTTGACGTGATTCGGTCGCGGCCTCATGGAGGGCCGCTTCAATCGTTCTGGTGCTCGCGGAGGATCGACTTCTTAGACCTCGAGGTTGTCTGGCTGAGAAAGAGACGGGAGCTTGGGATGATGATGATGATGATGATGGTAATGGTGATGATGATGATGATGGTGATGATGATGCTGATGAGGATGAGGATGAGGATGAGGATGAGGATGATGATGAGGATGATGAGGAGGATGAGGATGATGAGCTTGATGCCGGTGCTGATGATGATGCTGATGCTGATGCTGATGCTAATGATGTTGATGATGGTGGTGGTTGTGAAGACGATGAGGTTGATGATGCTGATGAAGATGTTGGTGATGATGATGATGATGATGAATGTTAGGACGATGATGAAGATGACGATGATGACGATTAAACTGATGGTGAGGATGGTGCTCTGGGGGATGATTATGGGGAGGAGTAATCTCACACGCCTAGAGGCCCCAAAGGGGTCGGCGGATGACAATGATGATGATAATGATGATGATGCTGATGATGATGGAGATGCTGATGATGATGAAGATGGTGATGACGATGATGTGGATTATGACGATAATGATGAGGCTGAAGAGGATGATGATGATGGTGGTGGTGATGCTGCTGATGATAATGCTGATGATGATGCTGGTGGTGGTGATGGCGACGGTGATGGTGATGGTGATGGCGATGGTGATGATGATTGTGGTGACAATGATGATGCTGCTGCTGATGATGGTGATGTTGATGATGATGATGATGGTGGTGCTGGTGATGATGATGGTGGTGGTGATGATGATGCTGATGCTGATGCCGTCGATGATGCCGATGATGATGATGATGACGATGGTGATGATGCTGATGCTGGTGATGATGATGATGATGATGATGATGAGACGGAGGATGATGATTAGGAGGATGTGGATGAGGATGCTGATGATGCCGATTATGATGATGGTGGTGGTGGTGGTGGAGGTGGTGGTGGTGATGATGATGATATTGAGGATGCGGATGAGAATTACTGATGTTGAGAATGCTGAGTGTGCTGATGCTGATGATGGTGGTGATGGTGATGATGGCGATGATGATGCTGATGATGATGCTGATGGCGATAGTGATGATGATGCTGATGCTGATGATGATGATGCTGATTCTGATGCTGTTGATGATGATGATGAAGAGGATGATGATGCTGATGATGATGATGATGTTGACGGTGCTGGTGATGATGCTGGTGGTGATGACGATGACTATGCTTGCGATGACGATTGTGCTGGTTGTGGAACGATGGTGATCATTTTGTTTATGATGACGGTTGTGGTTCTGGTAGCCATGATGGTGCGGTAATGACACATGCCATGCGGAGGATGAACAGCAGGAAGAGGATGCCTGATGAGTGGCAGGAGACGAGGGATGTGGATGAATGGGAAGAGGGACGTGCTGATGCTGCTGCTGATTATGAGGATCGTGGTGGTGACGATGGTTACAAAGATGATGATGATGATGATGATGGTGGTGATGAGGATGATGATCATGATGCTGCTGATTATGATGATGCTGATAGCGATGTTGCTGGTTAAATGGCGATGATCATGATGATTGTGATGATGCTGATGATTCTGATGATGATGATGACGACGACGACGACGACGACGATGATGATGATGATGATGATGATGATGATGCTGATGATGATAATGATGTTGCCGAGGAAGTGGAGTTGAAGGCGGAGTGGCAGGGGGGATGAGGTGCAGATCTGGTCACGTTGCCGATGACAATCGTTATGATGATACTTGTGACGACGTTTATCATGATGATGCTGCAGCTGATGACGACGATGACGATGCTGATGAGGAAGACGCGCTCTCCGACCGCATGCGCTGGAGCATCCGCAATTTTGGGACTGCTTGCGGGTCACCAGAGCTGCCCAAGACTTCTCGCCCCAGGGAATTGTAGGATCTAGCTCGTCTGGTTCCTGCTGCTGACGCTCCTGCTGGTGCTGATCCTTCTTCTTTTCGCCACTCTGTCCCCGCCTTCCTTTCGCTGCTGCCACTGCTTTTCCTCCGCCGCCCTCTTCATCCCGCATCGGCCCCCTCGTCCCCGCCCTCCTCGCCGCTGTCGTCGTCGTCTCGGTCGCCCCCCTCCCCCTCCTCTCGCCCTCCCCCCTCCGCAGCCAGCTTGGCTCGGGCGGCCTCCTCCCGAGCCTCCAGCCCTGCCTCGAGCCCGCACGTGGCCCGCCCGGGGCGCGTGTGCGGCCGGCGGCCTTTTGGTATGTGGCCACGCCCTCGTCTTGGCCTGCGGCCGAGCGGTGGGCGACCCTCCTCCTCCTCCTCCTCCTCCTCCTCCTCCTCCTCCTCCTCCTCCTCCTCCTCCTCCTCCTCCTCCCCCTCCTCCTCCTCCTCCTCCTCCTCCTCCTCCTCCTTCTCCTCCTCCTCCTCCTCCTCCTCCTCCTCCTCCTCCTCCTCCTCCTCCTCCTCCTCCTCCTCCTCCCCCTCCCCCTCCCCCTCCCCCTTCCCCAACCGGGTGGCGGCCGGACAGTCACTCCGCAGACGCGAGCGGTGCCAAGGCCCACGCCACAGGGGGCCCGCCGATCAGCCGAAAAAAACACAGGGAATGGACGTCCAAGCGATGGCCAGTGCAGGGTATCAGCATCTCGGTCTTCGGCCATCGCGTTCCACGACTTGGACAACGAGGGCTGGGAGATGGCGCATGTCGTATCTTCATCGGCGGGCATCGTGAGCGGAGGCAGGCAGTGTGCCTATCTCGCAAGGCGGACCAGGGGGCCCAGAGAGCAGCCACCCAATCTGAGGCGACGGTGAGTGGGCTTACGTTTCGGAAGAGCCTCGCCCAATTTCAGCGTCGTGCACGCCATCCACGTTGTAGCACCGCTGGTGCCGCAGCATGTGAAAGCCGCGATGATCGTGAAGCCACATCACCGAGCTTTAGCAGCGAGTTCGACACCCGTGGACTTACTCTCTTGCGTGAACGCGATCTATCATGTACGGATCCCCGTGACGGGCGTGCTCGTAAAGTGTACGCACGTGCGGACATGCCCGCTTGCGTCCGCGCCGACGAGCTTGCGTCAAGCTATCTGTACGGATGCATCCTGGCTCTATGGACGGGTGTGTGCTGCGACCTCACTGGCTACAAGCCCGGGGTGAATGGCTACCAGGGCCTGGTGCACCTCACGTCGTAGCAGGAGGTCAACAAGATGACCCACAGCACCGGCGACGACGCCGCCGGCTGCTCCTGCGCGCCAGTGATGGGCAGCCTCGCCGTTTCTGGAGTCGCCGAAAAGCCGACCGCGAACATGGTCGTGAGCTGCATTTTGCGGCTGGCAGCCGAAGGGAAGCCTTGACATTGCGCCTGGAGGACCCCCCCATCCGCTCCCGATCCGCCCCCTTCTCGGGGTCCAGGATGGATGCGTGTCCCTCCCTGGCCGAGCCAGGGAGGCACAGGCGCCCGTGAAAGGCTGCCCGTGCTTCTCTTCTGGGAGCGGCAGCGCGCAAGAGGCTTATTCGGTGTAGAAGCACGATGCGCAGAGAAGGAAAAGGTACCCATACCTCTACCCTTCGCCGCCCGTTTTCCCCTTTTTGGGCCTCCTGGGAGGCCCTCGTTGCCACCGCTGGATTCGCCTCGAAATTCTGATCAGAACGCACCCCAGGAGAGGTCCGGGGAGTTGCGGTATCCTTAGCTTTTGATTTCCCCAGATGTGGTTGACAGCCATTTGTTGTTTGGAACTCGGACACGGCCAGCTGGAAATTTGCTGCTCCGTGGGCGTGCCTCCTGGAGGGTCGACTTCGTGGGTGTCCCACGTTTCGTTCGGTATTCGTCCCGGGTCTGCCAGGTCGACTCAAGCTCGACTCGAGCTCGACTCAAGTTCGACTCTAGTCGACGAACGTTCGACGCAGCATCGATGGATGAGTGGAGCGATTGGTTCCAGGACGGCCCCAGAAACGATCATCTGACCTTCAGGTGTTTTTCCTCCTCTTCTCCCTTACCTTGGCATCGCTCGGACGTGTGCATTTTTCCTTCGGCGAGGGCCATCGAGGAGCATCCTTGATCATTTGGCGAAAAAACCACGCACGAAACCGAAAAAAAACACAGGGAATGGACGTCCGAGCGATGCCAGGTTACAGCCTCGGCCAGTAAGGGGCCTGGCCCGCTCGACCAGCAGGCACTGCGTCCTCGGCTCGTCGTCGTCGTCGTCGTCGTCGTCGTCGTCGTCGTCGTTGTCGTCGTCGTCGTCGTCGTCGTCGTCGTCGTCGTCGTCGTCGTCTGGCGCCAGGTCCATGGGCTTTAAGAACCAGGACGTGTACTGTGTTGCCCCCATCTCCGGCGGCTTCGTCGACGGCAACCCGCCGCTGGCGTTGCCAGCTTAGCGCTGGCCCCCTCAATACTGTTTTTCCCAACGGCGCCCCGCGTTCTTCTCCTCCCGCCTCCTTCCTCTCTCCCCCTCCTCCTCCCTCCTGCTTGGGTTTCACCCACCCAGTACAGCGGTTCGTGGGCCCATATCTCCGCCGAAGTCCCCAGTGGGACCGCCCGCGTGCGTCAGCCACCACCCAGTGCAGCGGTTCTTGGCCCCATAGGGAG